ACTCATATTGGTACATATCAGAATTTGCTAAAATTTTGGATAGATTTTGCATGTTTGAACTTGCTTAAAAGGGGAACATTTTGTAGAAGGTATTACTCATTTATCTTGCCTTAATGCTGGAAAAGTTGTACCAACAGTACACCCTTACCGCCCAAAGAAAATTCCTAGCACTTATCTCTGTCCAGCCCCTTTCCTTTATCCAGTTCATATCAATACAAACAAAACATAGATAGATGGATAGATAGNTAGATAGATAGATAGATAGATAGATAGATAGATAGATAGATAGATAGAAAGAAAGATAGATAGAAAGAAAGAAAGAAAGAAAGAAAGAAAGAACATATCAAAAATGGAGGGACACAAGTGAATGTTAGAACTCTTTGTTCACTTCTGAGCACAGGACCACTAAAATATCAGAATTCACTTTAACTGTTCCTAGGAGTTAATGAAAAAAATGTTAATACACTAACATTTATTTTAGTAGGGACCTGTTGTGTACCTCCAGATCCTACAAAATTTATAGAAGCAGTTTACTGGTCTGCTGGAAATACACAGTATATGAATCTGCCTTAATTATGTTTGGCCTATAATGTCTGCTAGATAAAGAAACCAAAATCTTGAAAATTTCATTACGTCATACATTATTTTTTCTACATTGATGAAAGCTAGACTGAATCAATGTGAATTTAGTAACAAAACTGCACATTTTAATAATTTAATGATAATTTAATTCAAAATGGTTTTTTTACTAGTTTCATTCTCTCTCCATCTTTAGCTACTTAAAAAAGCAGAACATATCTTTACTACATAAATAAGGAAGATCCAAATTTTAATAGATTAAGTGATTTTCAGAGGTGTAATTTAAAATATAATTGATGAATTTCAGATGTAAAATTACAAACACTTGTCACAAAGTAGCAATTCCAAAAACTCTTTTATCAAGTGTCCTAGCTAGCTGCAACACATAAAAAATAACAAAAAGCTTAAGAGGCCTAGTGGCCTTAGCTAGAGACATCTATAGTAATACAATACACACTGTAGAAATTGTTCTTTATTTCTGATAAGAACTTAATGTATATGGCTTATTTACTTCGCTGAAGATTTCCATATTCCATATTACAATTTTAAAACTATATAAACTCATATTTCATATAATTAAGCTATTCATTTGTTTGTTTATATTTCATATTTTTAAACCAACCATCTCCCTCACAGAAGGGCTCTTAATGGTGTACAATATAACTGATAAATAAAACATATAAAAATTAACATTAGTTAAATTAGGGTTAACATTTTAAAATTTTAAAACACTTTGAAATTCATACCATTTCTGAATAGAAAAACTTTTTAAATCAAGGGACATAACTTATTCTCGGATGAAATTGAGGCACAATTCTAAAGTCAGTTTTTTTGCATTGCTACTATAGCATAATATATAAAGGTACTGTGCTGTGAATTGTATAACTTGTTAATCTTGCTTTTGCTACAAATACAGAGCCCTTACCTGTAATATAACAGTAATAATATTGACTTATTTTATATAATTGTTGCAAATATAACAGTCTATGAGTTACTCTGTTAATACGCAAACAAGTAAATATTACTGCTATTATTTTCATTGTTCCATCAGATTATCAGTAGGCCATAGTTTTGCCTTCAATATTCCCAGCTACAGACCATTGACTTTTATGGATACATATTCCAGTTTTTTAAATACAGACTCCAGAATTTTTAACCTTCTTTGCCACTTATGTAAAACAATCTTTTTTTGTGATTCTAGATGATCAGACTTCAAACGCACTGTATGACAATATGAGGCATTAATGGCATCTAAGCAACTGCTTATATTTTGCAGTTACTGGACTTTATTCCTTATCTTTAAGAATGTGTTAGTATGTAGCGGAATCTATTTTCATAATTTCCTCATAAGATTGATAAAAATATGTTTAAATCTATTAGTGATCACATTATGCCTCTATATAAGATTAAAATATAATTTAGATCTATTGATCTACTGATCTATTGATGTTTAAAGCAGTTTTAAAATATAAACATATTAGATAAACTATGTTCAGCTTATGTTCATAATAAGCTATTCTATTCTTTAAATTAAAGAATAAAAGGAAAGGACAACTGATGAGTGTTTCTAGAGTAGTCTAGCACTACAGAGGGAAATAAAGAGCAGAATATTAAACATAATTATATTTCAAAAGAAGTAATCATGAGGAAGCAAAACAATGTAATTTACAAGTTACTAAGTATTTCTAAAAATATTTCGTTTAGCCTCACCAAAATCTCTAATTTTGAAGAGCACGAGCAAAATCTATACACTGCACTGTGTCTAAGTACCACACACTATTTATTTACATGGCCTTCTTATGCATATGTGTCATTCATGTAAAGAACAACTGATGACAACATGGAAACAATGAATATTCCAAAGTCTCTAATAACAAGAAACCATGATGAATATTTCTTATATTTCTGAAATTATATGAGCTCCTTTTAAAATATGAATGAGCTTATAACATGGAATTTAGCACTAGCATTTTTTCCTCAGGACTTCTTAATAGTTTATATAACTGCATAATATTTTCCGTATTATTCTCTGTCCCCTTTTTAATACAGCTTTACATCAGCAGTGGCCTGAGTATGTTCAGCAGAAGAGGCTACATCCCAGGTACCACAATTCTAGACAATAAGAATACCATGGTTGGAAGCAGTGAAAATGTAGACAGAAACTCATAGAAATTTGTGAGGGAAATTTTATGCAACAGGTGTGAGATGACAGCCTTAAGATTGCCACCAAAAGAACAGAATTTATAATATTACAAATAGTTATTATCAAATACTTTGTTTCGTAAACACATTATTTAATTCAGATGATGAACACTTGCAATACTCCTTTTCTACTTTAGAACTAAACTTTCAAACACACAAGTAAATCTAAATTGGCTAACATTTCTAAATTGAAGTCTGAAAAAGTTATCTGACATTTAGGATTTTGTTTTGTTTTTTAAGGTAGCAATTATTCCATCGTGACTAACCTGGCTCTCCAAAATTAATTTTCTCAGAAGTGCATGTTTTAAAACTTCCTTGGCTAGCTGCATGTGGCATCCAGTCCACTGCCAATATGTCAGAATCTCTGATCATCATGCAAATAGATAAACAAGTGTCCCACAGTTTTTTACTTTTCATTTTCAGAAGATGAGGACAGAAGCGATAGAAGGCAACAACACTAAACCTAATGCTCCTCTTCTGACTCAACGGTACCCAAGGATGGTCACTAAAGATGGGCATAGCACGCTCCAGATGGATGGTGCCCAAGGAAAAGGAATTGCATACTTAAAAGACGCTTGGGGAATACTAATGGATATGCGCTGGAGATGGATGATGTTGGTATTTTCGGCTTCTTTTGTCCTCCATTGGCTTGTTTTTGCAATTCTATGGTACTTCTTAGCTGAAATGAATGGAGATCTGGAGATTGATCATGATGCCCCACCTGAAAACCATACTATTTGTGTAAAGTACATCACTAGCTTTACAGCTGCTTTTTCTTTTTCACTGGAGACACAGCTCACAATCGGTTATGGCACAATGTTCCCAAGTGGAGACTGTCCAAGTGCAATTGCTCTACTTGCTATACAAATGGTACTGGGTCTAATGCTGGAGGCTTTTATCACAGGTAAATAGATGTCAACTTCATAACTAAGTGTTTCAATAGTGTGGTTTCATATGAAAATTCTGTTGTGAAGTTAAAAAAGAGAAAGAAGGAAAAGGCTGTGCTGCTGACTATTAAAATTATTTTCAGAACAGCTTGACAAGCTATATTTCCATTTAATGTAAGTAAAATAATAGTACAAAGGATTTTAAATTAGCAGTGTTATCTATTGTACAGATGGGGTCCACCCCCACAAAATTAAATGGTTTTAAACTAACAAGATGCAAAGCAGCTGTACAAACAAAGTAAATCCTACTTAGTTCAATAAGACATTTCTCTGTAAATATGCTTAGTACATTTTTAAAAAAAATCTAAAAAGATGATTATACATACTGGGTTATTTTGAACTCAGTATATATTACAATATAAGCAAGCATTCTTCTACAAATTATATTGCATAGCTATATATTTTTTGGTCAGTATCTGTAATTTTCTATTATACATATATTCATTGTAAATACACATATGTATTTATAATAATGTAAAATAAAACAATAAATAGAAAATTAACATTTTCATATTACTTATAATTAAACAATGGTTTATCATAATAAAATTTATTGCAACACAAATCTATTGAGAGATGATACAAACATTAGCTTTAAAAATTACATCATAGGAAATAATAACTCTTGTCCTAAAAATAAATATTAACATATTTTAATCAACATTTAAAATTGATATTTATATTATTCTGCTTCAAATAATGTGATATACTTATTTGTGCTTCATTTCTATCAACTTGCACCAAAACAATCACATCTACATGCATGATCTATATTTAAATTATCTTTTTATCTAGGTGCATTTGTAGCAAAAATTGCCCGACCAAAGAACCGAGCTCTATCCATCCGGTTCACTTATCTTGCAGTGGTGACACACAAAGAAGGAAAGCCATACTTAATGTTCCAAGTGGCTAATACTCGCCCAAGTCCACTCACCAGTGTTCGGATCTCTGCAGTTCTTTATGAAGAACGTGAAACTGGCCAACTGCATCAAACTACTGTGGATTTTCATTTGGATAGCATAACTTCTGAAGAGTGCCCATTTTTTATTTTTCCCTTAACATATTACCATTCTATTACACCATCAAGTCCTCTAGCCATTCTTCTACAAAGGGAGGCTCATCATCACTTTGAGCTAGTAGTCTTTCTTTCAGCCACCCAAGAAGGCACAGGAGAAACATGTCAAAGGAGGACGTCCTATCTCCCATCAGAGATTGTATTATATCATCACTTTGCCTCTATGCTTGCTCGTGGTGCCAAAGGGGAGTATCAAATCAAAATGGAAAATTTTGATAAAACAATTCCAGAACTTCCAGCAACAGACACTAAAAGTTCAAAAAGGACTGAAATGGAGATTCGCATCAATGGACAGCACATTGACAGCTTCCAAATCTGTGAGACACAGATAACAGAATAAACTCTGAATGTGTGCCACTTTTTAAACACAACAAAATGCCACTATCACATCAATGCTGTCTTTATCCTCTCAAGTTTCTCATGTTTGTTTTATTCTATGAGTACCTTCGACTTCAGAACAATGTGCAGAACAACGAGCATATTATCCATTGTACTGGATGAGCCACTAAGAACTGCACAAAAAAGTCAGGGACAAGAACCATTGCACAAATCCTTAGAAAACAAGAAGAAGAAGAACAACAACAACACTTCCTGCCAATTTCAATGGACTATGATTAAAACTGCACTGACCTAAAATAGAAGACTGTTAAATCCAGAGAATTGTTCAAGGAATTAAATGAAATGAGAGTAAATACTGTGGAAAAATGGGCACAACTTTATTAAAGATATCTCCTCTAAAAAGAATGATCACCTGAAATTCTCAAGTTCCCATAGGACCTCAAATTCACCTTTCCTTGCTATACAGTTACAACAGAATATGCTGATGCCTAAACATGCTATGAAGAATGTTGCTAGTATTTTCTGTGGCACTGAAATTGCAATCCTGCTGTGCTTGTTTATTAAGGAAAAATCGCAAGCATTTGCCAAATCTCTTTGTTCCAACAGCTAAGAACAAGTTCAACATCCCTAGGCAGTTTTGTGATGAAAATGAACGAGAAGAATTTTAAGACACATTGGGCACTAATACTCTGCATTGAGACATTAACAGACATCAGGAAACATCAATCTGTATTCATAATTTTTCTGTCTTGAAAGATAATTCCATCATCAGAAAGTCCTGCATTTCCCACAATTATTTATCTTTTCATATTACTATGTTCATTAAGTGCAGATAAACATTAGACTTGACAAAATAATTGAGCAAACATGAAATCTAATTACCAGACTTTGAGCATTAGACGTTATGCCAACTGATTCATGATTATTACCAGACCAGTTTATCAGAACTAATACTGTTGCTGTTTCTAAGTTTAAAAGAACCATTTGGTGGATTTTCAACTTTTTTTCAGCTGGAGAAGTCAATAAATTCCTATGTATACACACATAAGAAAGACTACAAAGCATCATCAGAACTTCAAAGTGCTTTTATGTAAAGGATGATTAAAAGATTCTTCTCAGAAGAACATGGTATAGGTTTTAATAGTTTTATTTTCAAATGGCTTTATTTCTAACTTACGGTTATGAAGAGTTTAGCTTTTTTGCTCTTGAACCTGGATAAATGTATTTATATGTATATACTGGTGTTGCTGTTGAGATTTGTTTTATTGTTGCGATTTGTTACCAATTATAAAGTACTTTTTATGAAGCTCATTCTTATTCCCAAATCTAAGGAATGGGTTATACCTGACAATTATGGAAGCTATGATCTACTGGGAACATGGTAGGGCTCTGGACAATTAATTAATTTCACAATTATATTAGCTGCCAATTCAAAGCTGCTAAGTTTTTAAAGCATATGAGATCCAATATTTTATTAAGGTTATTAATGATATTCATGTATGTAATCTTAAGCGTAATCATACCATATTCTCAGGATGGAAAAATGTGTTTTACAATTGAGGAAAAGAGATGTGAGTTATGACAAACCATGCTTTAGAAAAAATAATCTGGAATATCATCACAATATACCACTAAACTCATGTTCTCTTACAATGTTTTGGAAGTAATTTTGCCCTTATCTGTGCTGAGATTTTAATCTTTTCATTTACTGAGTACTGTGATTATGGCTTAGCTCAATGCAGAAACCAAACAGCAATAGTAATTATCACTTTGAAAATTCATTAAATTGCATTTGTACTTTACCTTTTTATCGATCATTTTAAACAACTGTCTCCCTTCTACATTGTAGTGATTATGAAAGCTTTTCCTTTTGATCTATGTACCCAATTTTTATCAAATTCTGGCTTAACTGTACTAATTTTATAATATTTAAATTTTACATTTCTAATATATAGATATGTACAATAAAACAAATGCAAAATTTCAATCTACAAGTAAACAGTCCAGATAAAATGTCATATGCTTCCAAATTCAAGTAGAAGCATTAATTTTATTTGCCTCAAAAGTCTTTTACAATTTAAATATTAGTTAACAAAAGCAACTTGCTCTTGTAATGCAACATTAGCAATGTGAGATACTGTTAAAAGATTTTGTAGTAAAGTGCTTATGCTGAAAACAAAATACACATTTGATTGGCCAATTTCAGCATTACCAAGTACAAATGGCATTCAGATTTCAAACATAAAGCTATAATTCTAATTCTAACATCAGCTTTACTAATCCCAGTTATACTCTACCTTGAATGCATTATTTCTAATTTTCATTTCCTAAGAGGAAATCAGTAATTTCTCCCTCAATCCTGTCTCCATTTCAGCCCCTTGTTTTCATTGGTAATTCTTACAATTCATTAGATTTTAAAGTATTCTTGGACCTCCCAGTGCTTTCATTCATGTATAATTATTAATGGAAAAATCCTCCTGTATCTTTTAGGTAATATGGTTCTTGGTCCAGTATTTATTCTAGAAACTTTAGGAATTATTTTTTTAAAATCAGATGTTGAACTGAATATTTCCTTTGTTCAGTTTCTCAAATTAATATATATAATATTTGTAAGCTCTATATTTGATTAACAAAGAAATGCCATATGGGTTGAAAACTCCTTTTATTAGAACAACTATAGTAACAGAATCTTAAAAGTGTGAATGTGCTTTTCTCTCTCCTCCCTCACTTTAGTGTCATGTAAATTAGGGAGGGGCTTTCTGAGATATTTTCTTAAGTTTGTTTCTTGGAATGGGTTCAATCTGTGCTTGTCTGAGCATTATCTTAGTAATGGATCTTCCTGCTGTCCTTCAAGGGCATTCTCCTTTTGCCTTTTCTCGCTCTCTTTTTTTTAGCATAGCTATTACTTCTGTGAGACAGATCAGGCTGAGAGAGAATGACTTGCTCACAGTCATCCAGTGACTTTCATGGCTTAGAGTTGACCAGAATGTAACATACCCCAGTAATAAGAATCAGTGCAACTCTGTCCCCCAACTCTTCTCATTTTTTTTCAAATGACAATATACAATTTATATAAATGCTTCGAAACGTAACACTCCCGAATCTGGAAAGGCTTCAAAATGTGCCCAGATGGAAAGGGTTTTTGCACAAGGAAACTATTCCTGGGTTGGATAATTTCATATTCGAATATATGAATTTAAGTAACAACTACTGACTACAGAGAGTATTGACTGTTATACCTCTAAAGTTTTCAGAGAAAAGATCTTACATACCTGGTTCTTTTCTGCCTGTTTTTTCAAACCTTCTGTCTCCTCTAAAAAAATTAGAAAAACAAATATACAAAAATGCTTTTTTAGGAGAAATGCTTCATTTTCACAACTTAAAAGAAAATTCAAACTAGAAATCCAAGAATGTATGGAGACAGAATAATGAAAACCATTTTGGAGATAACTTATTAAAACACTTGCATTATATCAATTTGTTCAATATTTAGTTATATTAAACAGGTTCTTAGAATTCATTCATATTATCAATACATTTATTCTATTTTACTGCACATTAATGCATAACATGCTTGTTGTTTTCAGCCTCTGCTTTGCTGTGTTTTCTGCATGCTTTTATAAGATCAAATGTAACCAATGTGAACAGAACTCTCCACCAATTACTCTTTTCTCCTTATATTTAAATTATATATGATTCAATTATTTTCTCCCATAATGTTGTTCTCCCATAATTGTTTGTTCCTTTGAACTACAAATTCACATGACATTTTTCCAATGCCACAGATATATCTACTAGTGAAACAAATCTAAAGCCCTTTTGAGTTAACATGCTGTTCTGTTTACTGAATATCAACTTACAGTAGATTTCCAGGATACACAAGAACCAACACTATTAGCAAGTTTAATTCTTGTTCATGCTCTTGGATAAACATGAAAATAAGTACTAATCTATGTTCCTCAGAAAACCATCACTAATATAATTTCTAAGGAATAACATTTTAATGTAATTTTCTGAATCACCAATACTACATAATACCTTCCATTTTAATATAGTTATTTAAGAAATATTCTGTATCTTGTTAAAGCAATATATTTTACAAAATAATCTGGACCTCATGATTCCATACTTCTCAAGAATAATAAGTCTTAGGGCTATTTTATTATAAAACAATTTTATTATGAATATAGCGTATGCTACCAGTTCTAAATATAAAATTCATTCATTTCTTTACTTGTAATTTGAACGGTAGTAAAATTACTCAGGATAATATACATTAAAAGTACAAAAGTTGTAATAAAATAAAGCTTATTTTTATATACACAAATAGAGACAAACACTGGTCACGTTCTGATTTAATATTTTAGAAATATATTCTTAGAAAAAAATCTAACCGAGGCATAAACATCAAAGCACAGCCAGGACTGCTCCATTAAAAAAGCAAACAATTTCATTACACTGTATATGATTTTAGAATTACCTTTCCTCCCAGCTCTGTGACCTATGCATTTCTCTGCCCCCTCCTCTTCCAAATCCACCTTCCACATCGTCAAAACTTCTTTGGTAGAAAGCACTTTCTCCTCGACCTCTGCCTAAAAAATAAAACAGAAATGTTTCCTCATTACCTTTCACAGTTTTCAGAACTGAATTCAAATATTCTTTTAGAAGATATAGAGATGAGACATATTAAAAGGTACAGATGCTATATGTCCCTACAAAATTTAGCAGAGGAAGGGTGTGAAAATATAGTTCATCTCCATCATCCATTACATTTTTCTACACAGGTTTTCCTTAATTTGGTGCTCTCTGGAGATAGGGGCTCAGCTCTTAGTAGTGTCCATTTATTTGAAAGGTACTCAAATTGGGAAAGTGCGCCATAGATTTCCTATCTAACCTACACAGAGTCTATTGATTTCTTTGCAGATATTCTTCATATAGATACAGAACTCTCAACTCCTTTTCTTTCAATCATTTGCTGAATTCAATATTACCCAGCTAATCTACATGAGAGACAGTCAACCACTGGGCCATGACTGACAATTTATCAAAGAAAAGTATGTGTTGGCAATGTCTCAGTGCTGAGATCTCAGCACTTCTCCCACCATGACTATCCATTTTATTTTTATAAACATTTTCAATATATTACTCTTCCATTTCTCAAACCAAACATCCCATCTCATTCTTTTATCTCTGATGAAACAAGCAAGAAACGCCAAGTCCTGCAACATCAACATGCCAGCATATAAAGAAAACTTTGAAATCAACTTTCTTCTGCTTGACTTGATGTAACATTTATTATTTATTTTTAAAGAATGATAAAACATCTTTGTTATATTTGTGGTTCTGAGCACACTATGAATAGATTTAGAGAAAGGCAAGAAAATAAGCATGGGTGAGGATGGTTGCTGGTCAATCATAGAAACACTCCTTAACGTAGAAGTAGGCAGATTCAATTATGGACTGAAGTGAGCAAGGTGGTGGTGCTGCAACTTCACAGAAATTAGGACTTGTATTTTAAGCTATATTTCTTTTCCATTTTATAAATATGTTAGACTTGTTAGATGGTTTAGCAAACATTTTATTTTCTACTGGAAATTAGAGAGAAGCTGTCCTCCTATTATTAGGCAGTCTGCTGCCAAATTTCAGCAATTAAATACTTAGGGTGAGCACTAAAAGGTGCAAAAAAGGAGTGCAGCTTCATACAGCATAGCATTTGCAGGTTTTCACATTTCTAAACTTCTCATCTCTCTCAAAGGAGGACTTTGGGCAATGTACAACAAAATATCAGTATATAAAAATTAAAATGTTAAGAGCTAAAATAGCAGGTGACTGAACTCACAGTCTTAAGAAACCTGTACACTTTGTCAGGCCCAATATGTTCAAACTGATTCCAGATAACTAGGCAAGACAGATCAGGCATCTCCCCTAGACCGGCAACAAGGCCAGCATTGAACTGTGAGAGAATATGAATAACTTTGGCAGATCCTGAATAAATTCTTCTGCATACTCCTGCAAGGGGTTCTCTGAGCCCACTCTACCCAAGAGGATAGTCACATGAAACAGGGCTGCAAGATGGCTGTCCACAGACAAAATATGGGGAAATACTGACGCTTACCACCAAAAGGTAGGCCTTGTAGTGGCTTTAACCCTTGTCTGGTCAGGTTCACCTCCTGAAGAATGCCAGTAACATTCTACATTTTCCTTCTCTCATTTCATCTGCCTAAACTCTTCCCTAAACTACGGGATGATCTAAAAGAGGGGATAGGTTGCATAGGTATAATCTGATTCAGCCACCATCTTATTCTGAAGTGGCAACCAACACTTCAGATTAATCATGCAACAGACCAATGGAAACAACCCCCATCTCCTTCTGAAACCCATCAAGGTCCATCAGTTACTGGGGGCAGACTGATCTAATGATCTGGCTTCTCTGTAGTGGATGGTGGTGCCAGAGAATCCCATGGTAATCAGGGTGGGATCTGATCATGACAAGGGGAAGACCAAAACCTCTCCCAATGTCAGATCTCATAAGCACTGCTACGACAGGAATACGAGATCCTCATTCAGCAGGTTTTAGGTGACTATGCTACCCAATGAGAGCAGAAATGATTTATTTCCACATCACAAATGCAGCATTTAGGAATATGTTTACGACATTCCAATTATAAAGCCATTTCTAGATAGATCACATGTTTAATATTAGTACATTAGAACAATTGAGCATTGGCTAGAAACATTATGAATTACCCTTCAGAACTATAGCACTCATTTTTTCACATGTTGTAATTTTTTAACTTTCCATTACAAATGTTTGCGGTACATTCTCTGTGTTGGTTTATATTTATTATTTTTAACTTTTCATTTTTCTTTCATTCAAGGACAGAAAAAAAATCTAAGGTATATTTATAGCAAAAATATCATTTAATTCTTTTAAAAAAGACATCATTTTGTTTATTAAATAATCTCACCTCGACCTCTAGAGGAACTTCGACCTCGAGGAGCCCCTACTACTGTTCCTCCTCCTCCTCCTCCTCGTCCCATCAATCGTAGGACAGCAGTACTATTTACAGATAATGAAAAATTTCTCTGCCAAAAGTAAGAAAGAAGTAACAAAAACATTTCTGAAGATATCATCAAATGAAAGCATATTTCATACTATACTCCAATATTATTTTGCAACTGAAAACACAATGAAGCACCAAATCAATATTAGAGAAGTAATGACAAAGCAAATGAATAATGACTGATGAACTATTAAACTTTTTTTATTAAAAAATACTTTAAAGCATTTAAGACTGAAATAAATTATTGCACAGAAAAAATAAATTAGAGAAGGCAGCGTATAGAAGATAAAATATCAGTAAACAAACAAAATGTATAATTATATTTAAAATTCTTGTTTCATTATTTGAATAATTAAATAATTGATCATATAAAACAAACTCCTAATTGCAAATCACTGCAAAACTCAAAATATAGTTAAGTTTATTAATATCACCACTATTAATCACTCAGAAATTAATGCAAATAATCTTAGTTTAAAAGAAATGAAAAAAAGAAAAAATACTAAAACATTAAGCTTCTTGAGAAGTGAAATATCTTCAAGGAAAATAAAACCCAAAGAAAGTCCAGTTGCCTTTTGAAAATCACCAGGTCAACCACGACCTGGATGACTGAGAATCTCCACAGACTAAAACACTAAATAAAAACAATATTGAGTGCTAGATTATTTGTACTCAAATGGTGGTCTCAGGTAGTCTTCGACTTACAACCATTCAATTAACAGCCATTTGAAGATGCAATGGCACTGAAAAAAATGAACTGTGACCAGTCTTTACACTTACAACCTTTGCAACATCCCCTTGGTCATGTGATCAAACTTAGGCATGTATTCACAATGTTGCAGCTTTGGGGGGGGATGTTGTCACATGATCACTATTTGCAATCTTCCCAAGGGGTGTCTCATAAGTAAAGTCAAAGAGGAAAGCCACATGATTTGCTTAACAGCCATGGTGATTAATGACCAAAGCAAATAAAGTCATAAAATCAAGCATGACTCATTTAACACCCATATCGCTTAACAAATGAAGTTCTGATCCTAATTCTGGCCATAGGTTGAGTATTATCTGTATATCAAATTATTTATCAATATTAAAATGATTAAATTTCTGGTTGTTTTCCTTCCATTGCCAATTATAAAAACAGCTATTTGTACAAGCTTCTAAAACAAAGTCTTGAATCTAAAATAGATTCAGTGAGAAGGGTACACACACAAAAATTTAAAATTAAATTACCACCATCCAATTATAAAGAAAGTTTATCTAGAAACAGTTACATATACATCAGCGGTCTCCAACCCCCAGACCACAGCCCAATACTTCCAGTTTGTTCATAGGGTAGTTTTTAGTCCTCTGAAGGTCCCTGAAGCCTCCAGAGAGTTTTAACTGACCCTACAAGCAAACCGAAAGTCACTTCTGGTTTGCTCGTAGGGTCCTTTTTAGTCCTCCTGAAGGTCCCTGAAGCCTCCGGAGGGCCTCCTGGGGGGCGGGGGAGGCTGTTTTCACCCTCCCCAGGCTCCTATAAAGCCTCTGGAGCCTGGGGAGGGTGAAAAAAGCATGCAAAAAATGGGGGGTAGCGCCTGTAGTGCGCGCATGTGCACTGGGGGGTCGCACATTGCATTATGGATAGGGCACACCATTGCATGATCCCCCTGCACTCCCCCCCTATTATGGCACACGAGCCAAAAAAGGCTCGCCATCGCTGCTCTAGACAGACTTGGGTGCTTTCGTTTTATGCAAATATCAGGATCATTCGTAAAGTTGCAGCATAGATTTATTCAAACCTGTACATAAGAATATGGTCAACTAATAGTCAGAACCAAATTGGCACTTTATAAAGGTCAACAGAATTCAAAAAGGGATGGACTTGGATCTCTTGTGGCAATGCAAAGACTCTAAAAGGATAATACATTTACCTCTGTCCCCTGGGGTCTTCTCCTACATCTACCCCGTAAATACTTCTAATAACAGTAATGTCAGAATGAAAATGAAAATAATGTACTATAATTACTAAAATTATTGTTAAATATATAATAACTTCAGATTTAAAGATGAATTTGTGTTGGTTATCAGAAAGGTTTTAAAAAATGAAATGAAATAAACAATGTCTAATATATACTCTGTGTGTGTTTTCCCGAAAATAAGATCAGGTCTTATATTAATTTTCACTCAAAAGATGCATTAGTGTTTGTTTTCTGATTAGGTCTTATTTTGGGGAAAATATGGTACCAAATGTGTTTGTCTGACGATCTTAACAGGGAGTTATTTTTGGGTTAGGGCTTATATTACAAGCATCCTTAAAAATCATGCTAGGGCTTATTTTCCGGTTGGGTCTTATTTTTTGGAAACACGGTGTGGGGTGTGTGTGTGTGTGTGTGTGTAAAATATTCTTACCTTGTACTTTATCAGAATGACACTGACTAAATAGAACGAGTTAAATGTAATGTAATGTAATGAATGTAAAATCTGAATTACCATATATTTTTTACTCTGTGATACATTGTTTAAACAAGAAATTTTCTGAATATTTGAAAATGGCATTAAAGACTTTTTAGATCAACACAGATATTTGAAATATAATTTACAATTCTTTAATTTTAATATTGGCCAATATGAAATTTGATAAGGGACAGTAGATGTATTTAAATATATGGGGAGAATATTTAATTTTTAAATTATAAAATATTAATGTGGTATATATTACCATGCATGACAATAAGGAAATGTTTTATAGCTGTTAATGTTTTATATTAACCTGAGTGTTAAATGTGCTATAATGAATAATCTACTTTTCTATCATTACATTCTCATAAAAATACCCATTTTTTTTAAACTAACCTGTTCTTCTTCTGTAAAAGGTACTAGTGCCAAAGGTAGTAGGGGCTCCTCTTGTAGAATAGGTAGAAACTCCTTATCCAGAAGGTCTGAGGGTATCTAAAGGGGAAATTTTAAAAAAAGGAGAGGTTGCAGACCTGTAACAATAGAACTTTGAGTGGTCATCTACACCATCATACATATGGATTTTAATGCTGTACATCAACTTGTTGATACTATTTTAGAACAAATGGAAAGTTTGAGGGAAACATGCCCCTGGCTCCCAGTGTGCATATCTCAACAATGTGATTCCTATTTTCTCCTGAGTTCTTAACAACGACCACAGCAGGTAAATAGGGAATAGAATGACCAACAGAAGAAAACATAAGCCATAGGGGGAAAGGTATATTATGTAACTTCACAGATGGCCACTCAGAGAGCTATAATTTCAGGTAACCAACTTATCCTTCTACTTTGTGGTCTCTGCTAACAAAATATGGATGAGTAGGAATCTTACATGCTGGGCAAAAAGGCAGATATATAAGAAAGAAATAAGGCCATGGTCAATCCATGAAATATAATGTCTGTTTTTATTTGTATACCAAGTCAATAGTTTTTAAATAAGGAGAAGAGTTATCACAGAATGATTATAAAAGCTCTCTGGCAGAAAACTTATGGAGAACATGATTGTTGTATTGCTGTCCACTGTCTCAGTGTTTCCACTCTAACAATGGAACATTCAAAACTTGCCACAGAGGACTTACTTTTCAAACTATTTAGTAAATATGACAAAAATCCCATAACCATCTGCAATAGCTAATTTCCATGGCTTACAGAAAGATCTTATCTAGTCTAGACAGAAAACCTATATATCTTCAGACAGTAAAGAGAGATTTCTAGTAGAATAATCAGTATTGAAAAGAAGAATGGAATAGAAATACCCAAATTCAAACGAAAAAGCAAAATCACTTGGACAATTAGGGTGAAGTACAGCAAATGCACACATGCAGTGCAGAGAATACTGGCAGAGAAATGGCAATCAAGAATGCCAGTGAGCCAGTTCAGCAGTCTGAGATTGAATGTTGTTAGGGTTAAAGGGTCTGGACATAAATAGATTCAAAACTACAGAAAGGTTCTCTTAATTGCCAGGATTGGTTACCTAAGCAAATATAGTTTGAGCAAACCTTTTAGAAATATTTAAGCTATATGTTGAACATGGAAATCCCATCAACAAAATGGGAATCTAAAATGGCTCTTAAAGTCGGAAGAAAGGAACAGAAAAGCCATCTATTTCCAAAGAGAATAGAAACTGGAGGATATTTTGCAGCAAGCAAACAGCTGATCCAATGTGCTTATCTGCAAAAGCCATAAAATAAGTACATTTCATCTACTAGAAACGAATGTTATCTGCTGCATACCAAGCAAAACGGGTTCTCTAGAATTTCCCTAATGTTGTAATAGGCCTGGCTAACATGAGAACCTGATACAGATGTCTTGATTCAAAATACCACCGTAGAAAACCATTGCTGGCAACAAAATGCAAAATAAAATCAGTATTGTCCTTCTGCACTTATTCATACAGGAGACAATTCCTCTGGTTACAAAATTTAGTGCTCTAATATTTTTCTCTAAATATGAAGATATCTATCTGAATTATAGCTACTGGTGGATATTACTTGGCTTAGAAAGATGCTGATATTCCCCTTAATAATTAGATGAAACTACTTGGGATATTAATGATATAGGCACTAATCCCACAGATTGTAATCCTAAAATACATAAGCACCAGGCTTTCACAAAATTATGTTACACCGAACAACTTGAACTCGCTATCTTCAGGCTGGGTTTTGGGCTTAAAGCGTGGGAGGAGCTGCCTTCTTTCTATAAATCTTGGTGGGGGGTGGAGGTGGAGTGCTGACTTTGTTTCAGTAAATGGAATGATTGGTCGTGTGGTTGTATCATGATTGGTAGATTGGTGCTGATTGGTACTGCCTGTGTGTCCATTGTTGTTTCGTGTTGTAACTGCCTGGGTGGTGGGTGAGGATCGTTTGTTGACTAGGGCTGGTTTCCAGATGTCTGGTAGGCAAGAGGTATCGTTATGTTTATTCATGTTGTGGGGGTGTTTCTCTATTTCGATAGCTTCCATAATTATTATCTTGTTGAAGTGTTCAGCGGCTGATCAGGAAGCTCCCCCCCCCGCCATTCCCCCTCCATTCGCCGGCCTCCGCTGGGCGAAGGACTCACAGTTCACCCCGCTTGCGACCAGCGGCAGGCAGCGATCCCGGCAATCTCTCAGCCTCGGGAAGCAGTGACAGACTCTGTAAAACGTCCAATCCTTTCCTGGTGGTCTTGAGGATGGCAAATTCTACTTTTTGACTCCAAAGCACAATGGGAAGTTCAGTCTATCTGCACTAAGACCAAGGAACTCCCCAAATTCAAGTCCTCTCAGGCGGACTGAGTTTTTAAACTGAGATATTAGAGGCAAAGGGAGGCATGGTCAAAGGAAAAAAGACATTCAGTCCTAGGGCAGACAGACTGTGTTAACCCCATGCTTGGACTCTCCAAACAGCACTCAGGAGAATAACTTGATTTCTTCAAAATTAATTTCATGTCCTGTAGCTTTAAGGTGCTGGAAAAGGGAGGAAGTTTTTTCTTTTTTTCTTACTGCGTGCTTGTGTTCTGCGATGCATGCATTTATTCTCCTGTTCGTTTGTCCTATGTATGTTGCAGGGCAGATTTTGCATCATATTTCGTAGACTCCTTGGTTTTCTAGCTGTTTTTTGTCTTTGGGGTTTCTTAAGATGTTGGCTATTTTTTTGGTCAGTGTTGAAGGCTGTC